TTGCAGTGAAATACCTTCTCGATGTTCATGTTACCCTGATACTTTTTCAAAAATTTCGAATTTTTCAATTTCACTGGATATCTTTTGGATTTTCATGTATTTAGTTTTTAAACAATATTTCGATTGATTAGCCATTTACAAAAGAAAAAATTGGAATTATTTTGAAAAAATGAAATTGAATGATGGCGGGATCGAACCCAAGCTATCCGCGTGATAGTCAAGCACGTTGACAATTAGACAACGTGCTCATTTAAAAAATCTAGTTTCATTAGGAGTATATGTTTTGAAAAAGTATCGTTTTCAAAAATTTCTAATTTTTCAATTTCACTGGATATCTTTTCGATTTTCAAGTATTCAGTTTTTAAACGATATTTTCATTGATTAGTCATTTACAAAAAAAAAAAAAATTGAAATTATTTTGAAAAAAAAGATGAATGATGGTGGGATCGAACCCTAGCCGTCCATGTGCCAGCCAAGCACGTTGCCCATTAGACAACACGCTCATTATAAAGATATAATTTCATTAGTAGTATATCTTCAATATATTGAATAATTTTTTCCATTTGAAATTCCACAAGATGTTCTACAGTCGGTTAAATTTCAGTTAAACAAATAAAAAACAAAAAGCATTCATACCACAGAAAATAAAATTTACCCCGTCGACTTGATGGACACCCCAGCATTGCGTGTGGCGCCCTCCCTCTCTTGGGGTGCAGTACTACGATGCCGCTGGGGTCACTCCAACCCCCAGAACTGAGCCTCTACTTCAGTCAATCCTCTTTGGGTGAGACCGAGAAGAGAAGTGACTTTTTTTAATCAACGACAAACAGTTGATCCTTAATCATCCACTGGTACAAATTCACCTCCAGATTGGATTGCCATCACCTCCGTCTCGACGGGGTGATATTTTCGTGTGATATCAGCGATAAATCGCAGAAATAATGGGCGACTCTTTAGACGGAACGGGCGAGCCCACGCCAGAATCGCAAAACATTGTCATTGTTGATTCTACGTCATTCGCGAATTTTCTCCGGAAAATTGTCTCGATTCTTGCGCCAGAGGAGGATGGGGTGCCATCAGCTTTTCTCGCAGCACTCGATGACAAAAATCATCAGGATTACATCCGTAAATTCATCGGGGATTCGCAAGTGTGGGCGTTGTGTATTCAACGAAGTTCCACGAAAGGTAACTTTTAGCGAGGAATGGCTACTTTGGATTTATCGATGTGTCGTCCTCCATTAGAAAAGTCAACGGTACTTTGTCTCCTCGACACATTCACACGTTAAATCAATGACACTTACGCCCTTCAATCATTCATTTTTCAATGACTCATGCCGGTGAACGTCATGCAATTATTCTGTGCCGGCGTTTGACGTGCATTTTGGATTTTCAACACCTGTCGAAATGCCCAGGGGAAGGGGAATTCACAATATCGCTGTTCACCAGATTAAATATGATACTTAAATTTAAGTCATTAAAATTCATTTAATTCTGTTCTCTTTAATTTATAATCGATGATTTTTTATTAATTTATGATTGAATATTTTCGCTGGAACTCGGGGAATTCTCCGATAGTTTTATTCGAATTTTTTCAATGCAGGAAATATCTGAAGTGAGACTGAAATAATTTTATGGATTAACCTCGAGGTGGAATGACTCAGATATTTGACATTTCTAATTCCTCATGCCATTTGATTTCCAGAGGAAGACAATGGCGAAGGGGACGAGGAGAAAGACGCGACGATGTACCACATCTCAAACGAGATCAATTTCACAAACCCGAAGATGGCTTCACTGGTCCTGACAAAACGAGGAGGAGTCATCGAGGCAGACAAGTCCATCTCCTCTCAAGTGAGAATTGTGAATTTCTCAGACGGTCCACCTTATGAGACACTTCACGCCATCAGCAAGACGATGGCTCCATTCTTCAAGAGTTACGTCAAAGAAACAGGTCGAGCTGATCGTGACGGTGACAAGATGGCCCCCTCAGTGGAGAAAAAAATTGCTGAATTGGAGATGGGCCTTCTGCACCTTCAACAGAATATCGATATCCCTGAGATATCCTTGCCAGTTCATCCACTGGTGATGCAGGTGATAAAACAATGCGCCGAGGAGAATCGAAAACCAAAGGTCGCTGACTTCGGTGACAAAGTCGAGGACTCGACGTTTCTGAATCAATTGCAGAATGGTGTTAACAGGTGGATCAAGGAGATTCAGAAGGTCACGAAGTTAAATCGAGACCCTGAGTCTGGAACTGCCCTACAGGAGATCTCCTTCTGGCTGAATCTGGAGAGAGCTCTCCACCGAATCCAGGAGAAACGTGAGAGCACAGAGGTGACACTCACCCTCGATATCCTGAAACATGGGAAGAGATTCCATGCAACCGTTTCCTTTGACACAGACACAGGCCTCAAGCAAGCCCTTGCAACAGTCAACGATTATAATCCTCTGATGAAGGACTTTCCCATAAATGATCTGCTCTCAGTGACTGAGCTTGAGAGAATTCGAGCTGCTGTCCAGCAGATCTTCATGCACATGAGAAAAATAAGAAGCACAAAGTATCCAATCCAGCGTGTCCTGAGACTGGTGGAGGCCATCTCTCGAGACCTTAGCCAGCAACTGCTGAAGGTCTTGGGTACCAGACGACTCATGCACATTCCTTTTGATGAATTTGAAAAGGTTATGGCTCAGTGTTTCGAGGTGTTCATCACCTGGGACGACGAGTACGACAAGCTCACAGGTTTGCTCAGGGATTTTGTCAAGAAGAAGAGGGACGAGCACATGAAGATGGTGTGGAGGGTCTCCCCAGCCCACAAGAAACTCCAGACGAGAATGGAGCAGATGAGGAGATTCAGAAGACATCACGAGCAGTTGAGAACTGTAATTGTTCGTGTTCTCAGGCCCACGGTTCGTCTGAACAGCAATAATCCAGCAATTGAGAATCCAGACAATGACAATGTCAAGGTGGAATTTGCTCTGGATGCAGCTGATGCCAATGCCATAAGCGAAGTCAATTTAGCTTATGAGAATGTCAAAGAGGTCGACTGTCTCGACATCACGAAGGAGGGACTCGAGTCCTGGGAAGCTGCTGTGCACAGATATGAGGAGAGAATCGAGAGGGTCGAGGCCAGAATCACAGCTCATCTTCGTGATCAATTGGGAACAGCTAAAAATGCTAATGAGATGTTCAGAATATTCTCGAGGTTCAATGCACTTTTTGTGAGGCCTCACATTCGTGGTGCCATCAGGGAGTATCAGACACAATTAATTCAGAGGGTCAAGGATGACATTGAGGCACTGCATGAAAAATTCAAGGTGCAGTATTCGCAGAGTAAGTGCTGCAAGATGAGTATGGTCAGGGATATTCCACCAGTCTCTGGATCTATCATCTGGGTCAAGCAGATTGATTATCAGCTCACGATGTATCTCAGGAGGGTGGAGGATGTCCTGGGAAAGGGATGGGAGAATCACATCGAGGGGCAGAGGCTCAAGGCCGATGGGGACAGCTTCAGGATGAAATTGTCAACTCAGGAAATTTTTGACGACTGGGCTCGAAAGGTTCAGCAGAGGAATATTGGCGTCACTGGGAGGATTTTCACGATTGAGAGTGTCAGGTCTAGATCTGGCAGGGGAAATGTTCTCAAGCTCAAGGTCAACTTTCTCCCTGAGATCATTACGCTGTCCAAGGAGGTCAGGAATCTCAAGAATCTGGGATTCAGGGTGCCTCTGGCTATCGTTAATAAAGCCCATCAGGCCAATCAGCTTTATCCATTTGCTATCAGTCTTATTGAGAGCATCAGGACTTATGAGAGAACTCTGGAAAAGGTAATTTTTTAAATCCCAGGGGCGTGTTGGGGTTGTAGGATTTTAATGGGTGAATGATTTTATTGGAGAATCATACCTGAATTAACTGATTTTCTAGCTTACCAATCGGAGCCCCCACTGTCCCTCGTTGAAGGTAGCTCATCAATAATGATGCTTGAGAAGATTAAGTGCATTTTCATAGATCATGTTCGCAATTTCGTTGTCCTTGCCTGCTTAGCTGTCTATTATAGAGTATGGAATTGTGTAAACTTACCCTTCCTACTCGCAATCCAGTATCTGCGGTTCCATTTTTTGAAAGAAAACGATGATTGAATAATTATGCCCTATTGTACTGTCGCTTCGAGGTATCGATTTTATTTGCCATTTGCTCTTTCCCGTGACATACCTATGAATGACTATTTACTGTTGTGATTTTGTATTCGAGCGGTCGCAGTGCCAAACGATAACTACAAGAGTTTTCTTTTTTTTTTATTCAATCCGAGGTTGTGGTTTCAGATCGAGGACAAGGCGAGTATCATCCCACTGGTTGCTGGGATGAGGAAGGATGTGCTCTCTTTATTCTCTGAGGTATAGGAAATATTTGTAAAGAAATATTAATATTGATAGTTTTGACAATTTTTGAAAAACTTTTACTTGTGATATTTTTTAGGGTATTGCTCTAGTCTGGGAATCCTATAAGCTGGACCCGTACGTGCAACGTCTTTCAGAGATAGTTGTGCAATTCCAGGAGAAGGTGGACGATCTCCTGGTGGTGGAGGAGCAGCTGGATGTGGACGTACGTTCTCTGGAAACATGCCCCTACTCAGCAAACACATTCGCTGACATTCTTTCCAAGATTCAGAAGTCAGTAGATGAATTATCCCTGAAGAATTACTCGAATCTTCACATCTGGGTGGCCAGACTGGATGAGGAAGTGGAGAAGAACTTGGCAGCACGATTGGAGGCAGGTGTGAAGGCTTGGACTGATGCCCTGATGGGTCACAAGAAGGAAGTTGATCTGTCAATGGACACAGACGCACCAGCAAAGCCCACCCACAAGCCAGGGGGTGATCCGAAAATCCAGAATCAAATTCACGAGGTCAGGATCACTAATCAAACGATGTACCTCTATCCCAGCATTGAGGACGCTAGATTCCAGATAATGCAGCAGCTGTTCGCCTGGCAGGCAATAGTCACCTCCCAGGTGAGACTTCAGAGCTCTAGATATCAGGTGGGATTGGATAAACCAGAATCTGGCACCTACAGGAATCTCCTAACTAAATTACCAGGAGGTAAAATTCCCCTAGAGGCTGCCTACGAGGCTGTGGAGTCGAAAATGAAAGACATTGCTGATTACGTAGACCAATGGCTGAGATATCAAGCCCTGTGGGATCTCCAGCCTGACAATCTCTATGGAAAACTCGGTGAAGACATCAATCTTTGGATGAAGTGTCTCAATGACATCAAGAAGACAAGAACTACATTCGACACATCAGACACAAGACGTGAATTTGGTCCAGTTATAATAGATTTTGCCAAAGTTCAGAGTAAAGTATCGTTGAAGTACGATTCGTGGCACAAAGAAACACTTGGAAAATTCGGTGCTCTACTTGGCAACGAGATGGTGGGATTCCATGGACAAGTCTCCAAGTCTCGGAGTGATCTGGAGCAGCAGTCGATCGAGGCTGCAAGCACAACAGATGCTGTTGGATTTATTACGTATGTCCAGTCATTGAAGAGGAAGATGAAGGTGTGGGAGAAGCAAGTAGACGTCTACAGGGAGGGCCAGAGGATTTTGGAGAGGCAGAGATTCCAGTTCCCCACGAGTTGGCTGCACGTTGATAATATCGAGGGCGAATGGGGGGCTTTCAATGAGATCATTAAGAGAAAGGACATGAGTATTCAAACACAAGTTGCTTCACTCCAGATGAAGATTGTTGCTGAGGACAAGGCTGTGGAGATGAGGACAACTGATTTCCTGAATGACTGGGAGCGTGGAAAACCTGTGGAGGGACATCTTCGTCCTGACGATGCCCTCCAGCAGCTCCAGCTGTTTGAGAGTAAATTTGCTAGGCTCAAAGAGGAGAGGGACAATGTGGCTAAAGCCAAGGAAGCCCTCGAGCTTCAGGAGCCTGGAGGTGTGTCAACCAGTGAAGATAGGATGCTCGTGGTCTTTGAGGAGCTGCAGGATCTTCGTGGTGTTTGGTCAGAGCTCTCGAGAATTTGGGCACAGATCGATGAGACTCGAGAGAAACCCTGGCTGTTAGTACAACCAAGAAAACTTCGTCAGCAGCTCGACACCATGATGGCACAGCTCAAGGAATTACCAGCTAGATTACGTCAGTACTCATCCTACGAGTACGTCAAGAAGATGCTTCAGAATTACACCAAAGTCAATATGTTGATTGTGGAGCTGAAGTCAGATGCCCTCAAGGAACGACACTGGAAGCAACTGACGAAGCAATTGAGAGTTAACTGGATCCTCAGTGAGTTGACACTTGGACAAGTCTGGGATGTCAATCTCCAGAAGAACGAGGGAATCGTAAAAGATATAATATTAGTAGCTCAAGGGGAGATGGCACTCGAGGAATTCCTTAAACAAGTGAGGGAATCCTGGCAGACGTATGAATTGGATTTGATAAACTATCAAAGCAAGTGCAGATTGATCAGAGGGTGGGACGATCTATTCAACAAAGTGAAGGAGCACATCAACTCTGTCGCTGCCATGAAGCTTTCACCATACTACAAAGTCTTCGAGGAAGAGGCGCTCACCTGGGAGGAGAAGCTCAACAGAATTAATGCACTATTCGACGTGTGGATTGACGTTCAACGTCGATGGGTTTATCTCGAGGGAATTTTCTCAGGAAGTGCTGACATCAAAACACTTTTACCAGTGGAAACCTCTCGTTTTCAGAGCATCAGCTCTGAATTCCTCGGGCTCATGAAGAAAGTCTCCAAGTCCCCGATGGTGATGGATGTTCTAAATATTCCAGGGGTACAGAGGGCTCTGGAACGACTTGCAGATCTCCTTGGAAAAATTCAAAAAGCCCTCGGTGAATATCTGGAGAGAGAGAGAACATCGTTTCCTCGTTTCTATTTCGTTGGTGATGAGGATCTCCTTGAAATCATTGGTAACAGCAAAAATGTCGCACGACTCCAGAAACACTTCAAGAAAATGTTTGCCGGTGTTGCTGCTATCATTTTAAATGACGAGAACAACGTTATCCTGGGTATTGCCTCGAGGGAGGGTGAGGAGGTTCATTTCCAGAGTCCAGTGTCCACTGTCGATCATCCCAAGATCAACGAGTGGCTGACACTCGTCGAGAAGGAGATGCGAGTGACACTTGCATCGAGTCTGGCAAAAGCCGTTCAGGATATCAAGCAGTTCAAGGATGGCAATATCAATGCCCAGGCATTTATGTCCTGGTGTGACAATTATCAAGCACAAATTATTGTTCTAGCTGCACAAATTCTGTGGTCTGAGGACGTTGAGGCTGCACTGCACGAGGCATCAGCAGATCCCAGTAAAAATCCTTTGGAAAGAGTTCTGCTCCAGGTAGAAGGCACCCTCAATGTCCTCGCTGATTCTGTCCTCCAGGAGCAGCCGGCACTCAGGCGAAAGAAACTGGAGCACCTCATCAACGAATTTGTCCACAAGAGGACAGTAACGAGGCGCTTAATAGCGAATAGAGTCAATAATCCAAAGGCTTTTGAGTGGCTCTGTGAGATGAGATTTTACTTTGATCCAAGACAGACTGAAGTCCTCCAGCAATTGACCATCCACATGGCCAATGCCAAATTCTTCTACGGGTTTGAGTACTTGGGGGTTCAGGACAGGCTGGTACAGACTCCATTGACTGATCGTTGCTATTTAACGATGACACAAGCACTAGAGGCCAGACTGGGCGGATCTCCATTTGGTCCTGCTGGCACTGGAAAGACGGAGTCTGTTAAGGCACTTGGCCATCAGCTGGGGAGATTTGTCCTGGTGTTCAATTGCGATGAGACCTTCGATTTTCAGGCAATGGGGAGGATCTTCGTGGGTCTCTGCCAGGTAGGGGCCTGGGGATGTTTTGACGAGTTCAATCGTCTGGAGGAGAGAATGCTGTCTGCTGTGTCGCAGCAGGTGCAGACTATCCAGGAAGCTCTCAAGAATCAGATGGAGGGCAAGAGGGAAGGAACACTCTGTGTTGAGCTCGTGGGGAAGCAGGTGAAGGTCTCCCCCGATATGGCAATCTTCATTACAATGAATCCAGGGTATGCTGGACGCTCCAATCTTCCTGATAATTTGAAGAAACTCTTCAGGTCGTTGGCTATGACAACTCCTGACAGACAGCTCATTGCTGAAGTGATGTTGTTCAGTCAAGGGTTCAGATCTGCTGAGAAACTCGCCTGCAAGATTGTACCGTTCTTCAAACTCTGTGACGAACAGCTATCAAATCAGTCGCATTATGACTTTGGATTGAGAGCTTTGAAATCTGTTCTCATATCAGCGGGGAATGTTAAGAGGGACAGGATTCAAAGGATCAAAGAGGGCATGCAGGGACGTGGAGAAACTAATATCGACGAAGCCTCCATTGCTGAAAATCTTCCTGAACAGGAGATTCTCATTCAGTCTGTATGCGAGACTATGGTGCCAAAACTCGTCGCTGAGGATATTCCGTTGTTGTTCAGCTTGCTGAATGATGTGTTCCCGAATGTTAATTATACCAGGGCTGAGATGAAGGGTGAGAATTCTGTTTTTTATGAGACAATCGAATTATTCATATTTACATTAATTAACATTTGAATTTTAATTGATTGAGAGAGGGAATTTGATTTATCGATTTTACTTTCTTCAGGACTGAAGGACCAAATCAGAAAAGTCTGTGGTGAGGAATATCTGGTCTGCGGTGAAGGCGATGAGCAGGGAGGGGCCTGGCAAGAGAAGGTGAGTCTCCTATTGCTCAGGATAATTAGAATCAATTGCATAAAATGCTGTAGTCTCCCTCAGATATGCACATGTAGCATGTAAATCGCCATTAATACTCATAGAATTTAAATATAATTAAATATAATTAATATCCACCAAATTAGTACGTATCGATTTTGTGAAATTTCGATACTTTTGATATTCCATCTGTCCCAGATGATAAAACTCAGACCTCCTCACCCCGAGGTTCCCTAAATTAACAGTTAATCCCCAGATCACATATCGTAATTGACCCGTAATCATACTTTCTATTCCGCACGCTTAAAGGAATTGGTCGGTGAGACGTGGGTAGAAAAGGTGAGAACAGTTGGTAATCCAAGAATTCCGCTCAATGTCCACTTAAAATTGTACCTGTTGTCGTTGTTCCCCTGTCTCTCTTATTTCCCCTAATCTCTTATCTCGATTCCCAGGTCCTGCAATTGTACCAAATCTGCAACCTGAATCATGGACTGATGATGGTGGGTCCAAGTGGTTCAGGTAAATCGACAGCCTGGCGAGTGCTCTTGAAGGCACTCGAACGTTTTGAGGGAGTGGAGGGTGTGGCCCACGTGATAGATCCAAAAGCAATCAGCAAGGAGACCCTTTACGGTGTCCTGGATCCCAACACTCGAGAGTGGACAGACGGCCTGTTCACCCACATCCTGAGAAAAATAATCGACAACGTTCGTGGTGAGATAAATAAACGCCAATGGATAATCTTCGACGGTGACGTAGATCCAGAGTGGGTTGAGAACTTAAATTCAGTCCTCGATGACAACAAACTCTTGACACTTCCCAACGGTGAACGCCTGAGTCTTCCTCCAAATGTCCGAGTGATGTTCGAGGTGCAGGACTTGAAGTATGCAACTCTAGCTACAGTATCTCGTTGTGGAATGGTCTGGTTCTCCGAGGACGTTCTCTCCACCGAGATGATCTTCGAGAATTATCTGATGAGATTGAAGAACATTCCCCTGGAGGACGGCGATGACGATAATTTGGGGAAGAAAGCTGATAAGGACGACATGATATCTCCAGCTCTGTCAGTCCAGCGCGAGGTTGCCAGCATCTTCCAGAGTTACTTTGCACCTGATGGTCTCGTCGTCAGGTGCTTGGAGTACGCCATGAAACAAGAACACATAATGGACTTCACAAGACTCCGAGCCCTCAGTTCTCTCTTCTCAATGCTCAATCAGGCTGTTCGCAATGTTCTCCAGTACAATCATACCCACACAGACTTTCCCCTTCCCAGTGAACAGCTGGAGCGTTACATGCCTAAATGCTTGATCTACGCCCTCCTCTGGAGTTTTGCTGGAGATGCCAAATTGAAGGTTCGATCAGACCTGGGGGATTTCGTGAGATCTATAACAACCGTTCCACTTCCAGCTCAATCCAACATCGCAATCATCGACTTCGAGGTGAATATTCACGGAGAATGGTTACCATGGAGCAATAAAGTACCCCAGATCGAGGTAGAGACCCACAAAGTTGCCAGTCCAGATATCGTTGTTCCAACCCTGGACACTGTGAGACACGAGAGTCTCCTGTACACCTGGTTAGCTGAGCACAAACCCCTGGTGCTCTGTGGACCCCCAGGCTCAGGTAAAACCATGACTCTCTTCTCAGCTCTGAGGGCACTACCTGATATGGAAGTCGTTGGGCTCAATTTCTCCTCAGCAACTACCCCAGAGCTTCTCCTCAAGACTTTTGATCATTACTGCGAATACAGAAAAACGCCAAATGGAGTTGTACTGTCACCAGTGCAACTGGGAAAGTGGCTGGTGCTTTTCTGCGATGAGATAAATCTTCCTGATATGGATCACTATGGGACACAAAGGGTGATATCATTCTTGAGGCAGTTGGTGGAGCACAGGGGCTTTTTCAGGACGAGTGATCAGGCCTGGGTGTCACTGGAGAGAATTCAATTCGTTGGAGCTTGTAATCCTCCTACTGATCCAGGGAGAAAACCCCTGAGTCACAGGTTCCTGAGGCACGTGCCTGTTATTTATGTAGATTATCCTGGAGAGACGTCACTCAAGCAAATTTATGGAACGTTCACCAGGGCAATGCTAAGGCTTACACCGTCGTTGAGGGGTTATGCTGAGCCACTCACAAATGCTATGGTGGAGTTTTATTTGGCTTCACAGGAGAGATTCACCCAGGATATGCAGCCACATTACGTTTATTCACCTCGTGAGATGACGAGGTGGGTGAGAGGCATCTGCGAGGCCATCAGACCCCTAGATTCACTGTCTGTCGAGGGTCTTGTTCGTCTCTGGGCTCACGAGGCACTCAGGCTCTTCCAGGATCGTCTCGTCGAGGATTCAGAGCGAGCCTGGACCAATAAAAATATCGATGTCGTGGCCTTGAAGCATTTTATGGGTGTTGATCGTGAAAAGGCCCTTGCCAGGCCTATCCTCTACAGCAACTGGTTGTCCAAGGATTATGTTCCTGTGAATAGGGACGAGTTGAGAGAATATGTGAGGGCTAGGCTCAAGGTATTCTACGAGGAGGAGCTTGATGTGCCTCTAGTGCTGTTCGACGAGGTTCTCGAACACGTGCTGCGTATTGACAGAATATTCAGACAGCCACAGGGACATTTACTCCTCATCGGTGTCTCTGGAGCTGGAAAAACTACTCTCTCGAGATTCGTCGCTTGGATGAATGGATTATCGATTTTCCAGATTAAAGTGCATAATAAATACACTGGGGAAGACTTCGATGAGGATCTTAGACAGGTGCTCAGGAGATCTGGATGTAAAGATGAAAAAATAGCGTTCATTCTGGATGAATCTAATGTATTGGACTCTGGATTCCTGGAGAGAATGAATACTCTGTTGGCTAATGGAGAGGTTCCTGGATTGTTCGAGGGGGATGAGTACACAACTCTGATGACTCAGTGCAAAGAGGGGGCACAGAGGGAGGGGCTCATGCTGGATTCCAATGAGGAATTGTACAAGTGGTTCACTGGACAGGTTATGAAGAATCTTCATGTTGTCTTTACTATGAATCCAAGCACTGATGGCCTCAAGGATCGTGCTGCAACATCACCAGCCCTCTTTAATCGTTGTGTTCTCAATTGGTTTGGAGATTGGTCTGATAATGCTCTGTTCCAAGTGGGTAAGGAATTCACGAGTCGAGTCGATCTCGAGAGGCCCTCGTGGAAGTGTCCAGACTTCTTCCCATCAGTTTGCTCGCTCATTCCTGCACAGGCTGCCCACAGGGATGCTGTTATAAACGCGTGTGTCTATGTCCATCAGACCCTCCACAAGGCCAATGCCAGACTTGCCAAGAGGGGCAGCAGAACGATGGCCATCACACCCAGACATTATCTTGACTTTATCAATCATTTTGTCAAGCTTTATCAGGAGAAGAGGAGTGATCTCGAGGAGCAGCAGCTCCATCTCAATGTCGGACTCAGCAAAATAGCTGAAACTGTTGAGCAGGTTGAAGAGATGCAGAAGAGTTTGGCGGTCAAGTCTCAGGAGCTTCAGGCTAAAAATGAAGCTGCCAATGCCAAACTCAGGCAGATGGTGAAGGATCAGCAGGAAGCGGAGAAGAAGAAGGTGCAGAGTCAGGAGATTCAGCAGCAATTGGCTATACAGACTGTGGCTATCGATCAGAAGAGGGAGTCTGTTATGGCTGATTTGGCGCAGGTAGAACCAGCTGTCATCGATGCTCAGACTGGTAAGATTATATTTCGATCGACTATTCAATTTTTATTTATTATAGCTCATACACACTGTGCACAGCACTTTCTCCATTTATGTTATTATTTATTTTATTGATCATTATTATTATTTATCTACTCATTATCGTGTGTGGAATCTTTCTCCCATCATTATTTCATTGCGAGTCTAGCTGTGAAAGGAATAAAACGTCAGCACTTGGTGGAGATACGGTCAATGGCAAATCCACCTGCATTAGTTAAATTAGCACTCGAGTCAATGTGCTTTTTGCTCGGTGAAAATGCGACTGATTGGAAGCAGATACGAGCTGTATCAATGAAGGACAGCTTCATACCCACTATCGTCAATTTCAACACTGAGGACATGACGTAAGATGATAACTGATGATCATTCGGTCTATATCGAGCTATTGATGAATGTATCGATGCCTCAGCGGGGAATTCTAATCAACGACGTATTAATACGCTTTTGTTTGTTATTCGTTAATTAAATGCACATTTATTATTGTTTCGGGAAGATGTGTGGAAATTGAGAGATAACTGACTCTTTCATTCAGAAGTCATAATTAATTTATAGTTGAAAATGTTATTATTCTTTTGGAGCATCATGAATAGGCAATATAGAGGATTTTTGATAGAAATATAACTGAATGGAATAGTAGCAGTTAATTAATTAAAATTAATTTCTTGGGGAAAGCAGTTGGTTTTTCTTTTCAACTTTTCCACACGGGGCTAGGTGGACCGACCGTTAAAGGTTTCTGTCCATTTTACCCTCATCTTCCCCAGGTCGTTGTCTTTCCAGCACAACAACAAGTATTAACATGACAGCTAAACCGAAAAGAAGATCCAGCTTTGAAATGCAAAAACGAATAACTCTTGTATATTGTTTAATTGTCTCTCTCTGTTATCACACATGAGAAAATTGATAGAAAAACTTTGCACTTTTACGAGAATCTGTTGAATTTTCGAATCTCTTTGAGATATCTTGTCAGTTTTATTAGAATTCTATTAAAAATTCTTGACTCTCTTAATTAAATCTTTAAGAATTCTAATCGAACTGCGATTGAAAAAATGAAGTTTTAAAGTTTTTATTGAAATGTGAATAGAAATACGAGTTTTGTTTAAATGAGTCAAGAGAATTTCTTGTAAAAAGAGTGAGATTTTCTGTGAAATGATTTCATACGTGCACTGTCTCCAGTATTTAATGTGTTACAATTACTCACGAAGACAATCGTTTAATTTTGTCGTATAGCGGTGAAATCAATAAAGAAACAGCACTTGGTTGAAGTACGTTCGATGGCAAATCCACCTGCAATCGTCAAAGTTGCATTGGAATCAATCTGCCTTTTACTTGGTGAAAATGCTAGTGACTGGAAGTCAATTCGCGCTGTCATCATGAGGGACAATTTTATCAATACCATTGTCTCTAATTTCAGTACTGAGGATATAACGTAAGCATGCATTCACAAATAATTTCTTAATGAGAAGTTTGATTGAATCGACATTATTTATTCGGAGATTAAATAACGCCATGCCATGGCGCATTACTACTGCCCGCGATTTTTACAGAATTTCCAAAGCTTACGCCAGTTAATCTCCAATCAGCAACTCGTGACATGTCTATTACGATCATAATTACCTAATTTTTATTATCTGTCTTGGTAAAGTGCATGTTACTCAGAATTAATCATTAATCGGCTTGTGCTAACTCAGTGTTCAAATGATTGTTTATTAAAATTAGGGAGTTGTTGTTTTTGGGGCGAAATTTGTCGAGACTGTGGTGATAATTCGACAATTGCTTGCAATTTCACATTTACCACGGTCCCTGATAATTACTAATTAATCAAATTCTTTCATTTTCTCAAATTCCTGTAGCGATGAAGTTCGTGAGAAAATGAAGAGCCGATACCTCAGCAATCCTGATTACAACTTTGAGAAAGTTAATCGGGCGAGTATGGCTTGTGGACCCATGGTTAAATGGGCAACTGCTCAGGTAAAAAAAGTCCTCTCTTGCATCCATTATCGCTTAATAATAATTACCATTAAGCCCTGGAAATCCTCAGAATGGAAAAATGGGAAATGGGGAAAAAATATTTTCAATAGAGAAGAGCGCTATTTTCTTTTTTCAATTCTCCAGTTCCAATTCTTTCAATTCTTAGTTTTCAATTCTCCAGTCAATGACTTTCATTGATTCTTCTTATTATCATCCCCAGGTGGAGTACGCAGACATGCTGAAGCGAGTGGAGCCCCTGCGAGAGGAGCTGTACTCCCTGGAACGTCAGGCAGAGACGAATAAAGAGAAAGGCGAGGAGGTGAAGCACCTGATAGCGCAATTGGAATTATCAATTGCTTCATACAAAGAGGAGTACGCCCAGCTGATTTCCCAAGCCCAGGCGATAAAGACAGATCTGGAGAATGTCCAGGGTAAAGTGGATCGATCGATAGCCCTGATAAAATCCCTAGTGATTGAACGAGAGAGGTGGGAGGCAACGAGTGAGACTTTCAGGAGCCAGATGTCCACGATAATCGGTGATGTACTGCTTTCCTCAGCATTTCTGGCTTATGCTGGTTATTTCGATCAGCACTACCGCCAGAATCTCTTTACAACCTGGTGCCAGCACCTCCATCATGCAAATCTACAGTTCCGCCCTGACATTGCTAGAACCGAGTACTTGTCAAATCCAGACGAACGTCTTCGCTGGCAGGCAAATGCTCTCCCAACGGACGACCTCTGCACAGAGAACGCCATAATGCTCAAGAGATTCAACAGATATCCCCTGATAATTGATCCTTCAGGACAGGCCACGGAGTTCATAATGAATGAATTCAAAGACAGAAAGATCACTAAGACGAGTTTCTTGGATGACTCATTCAGAAAAAATCTGGAGAGCGCCCTGAGATTCGGTAATCCCCTGCTTGTTCAAGACGTCGAGAACTACGATCCCATCCTCAATCCAGTACTTAACAGAGAATTGAGGAGGACTGGTGGACGAGTATTGATAACTCTGGGTGATCAGGACATCGATCTGTCCCCATCATTCGTTATTTTTCTGTCGACTCGAGATCCCACTGTGGAGTTCCCACCAGATATCTGCTCTCGTGTGACTTTTGTCAACTTCACGGTCACCAGGAGTTCCCTCCAGAGTCAGTGCCTCAATCAAGTGCTGAAGGCTGAGCGTCCAGATATCGATGAGAAACGCTCAGATCTTTTGAAACTCCAGGGTGAATTCCATCTTCGTCTTAGGCAGCTGGAGAAGTCCCTTCTGCAGGCACTGAATGACGCTAAAGGAAAGATCCTGGATGATGACTCAGTGATAACAACACTGGAGACACTTAAACAAGAGGCTGCTGATATCAGTAAAAAGGTGGAGGAGACTGACAAGGTCATTGCTGAGATCGAGACTGTCTCTCAGCAGTACATGCCACTGTCCCAGGCCTGTTCCAACATGTATTTCACCATGGATTCTCTCAACCAGATTCACTTCCTCTACCAGTACTCTCTGAAGATGTTCCTAGACATCTTTACATCAGTTCTCTCGCAGAATCCAAAACTCTCCGGTATATCTGATTACACCCAGAGGCTATCCTTGATCACGAGTGATTTGTTTTCAGTGTGCTACGAGAGAGTGGCACGAGGAATGCTCCACGCGGACAGATTGACATTCGCCCTTCTCCTCTGCAGGATCCACCTCAAGGGAATCTCCACAGAGTCCTCTTACGACCAGGAGTTTACGTTCTTCCTGCGAGGAAAAGAGGGAGTTTTGAATGTTCGAGGTCCAATGATTCAGTGTCTGAGCTCTGAACAGCAGGAGGCAATGCTCAGGCTGAGTCTGCGACTACCAGCCTTTAAGAAACTGGCACAAAATATCCAGGAGGATCAGGACTTCCCCACGTGGTTGCAGTCATCGAATCCTGAGACCCAAGTCCCCAAATTGTGGGAGGAGGAGAAATCCCTGACACCGATTGGCACAGCTGTTCACCAGCTGCTGATTATTCAGGCATTCAGACCAGACAGAGTGATAGCAGCAGCAGCACTCTTTATCTCAGCGGCTCTTGGCGAAAAGTTCATGGCAGCTGCTGAAGTGGAGCTGGACTTTGCTTCAGTTGTGGAGAATCAGTTGAAGGCAGCTGTTCCAGCTTTGCTGTGCTCAGTGCCAGGATTCGATGCTTCTGGAAGAGTTGACGATTTGGCAGCTGAATCAGGAAAGCAGATAGTGAGCATTGCCATTGGTTCTGCTGAGGGATTCAATCAGGCAGATCGAGCAATCAATATGGCTGTTAAAGCGGGCAGATGGGTGATGCTGAAGAATGTTCATCTGGCACCTCAGTGGCTGGTGCAGCTTGAGAAGAAGCTCCACAGCCTTCAGCCACATGCTGGCTTCAGGCTCTTCCTGACGATGGAGATCAATCCAAAAGTGCCCGTTAATCTCCTGAGAGCTGGCAGGATATTCGTGTTCGAGCCACCTCCAGGCATCAGAGCTAATCTTCTGAGGACATTCAGCACTGTACCAGCCTCGAGGATGATGAAACCACCTAATGAACGAGCTAGATTGTACTTCCTGCTCGCCTGGTTCCATGCAATTGTCCAGGAACGTCTCAGGTACTCACCCCTGGGTTGGGCAAAGTACTATGAATTCAATGAAAGTGATCTTCGAGTGGCATGTGACACCCTGGACACCTGGATCGAGGCCACCGCGATGGGCCGAACCAATTTGCCCCCTGAGAAAGTACCCTGGGACGCCCTCGTCACTCTCCTCTCTCAGTGCATCTATGGAGGAAAAATTGACAATGATTTCGATCAACGACTGCTCGCCTCCTTCCTGAGGAAACTCTTCACACCTAGATCCTTCGAGTCTGACTTTGCCCTCGTGGCAAACGTCGATGGAGGCTCTCAGGGCAATCAAAGACACATAACAATGCCAGATGGCACCAGGAGAGATCACTTCCTCAAATGGATCGAGTCTCTCTCAGACAGGCAAACCCCATCTTGGCTGGGACTTCCTAACAACGCTGAGAAGGTCCTTCTCACAACTCGTGGAACTGATCTCGTCTCAAAATTACTGAAAATGCAACAGCTGGAGGATGAGGACGAACTCGCCTACTCCCACGACGAGTCCCTGGACGCACCTAGAGAGGCTGAGGGCGATGGAAGGCCATCCTGGATGAGAGTCCTTCACAACTCTGCCTCCACGTGGCTTCAGCTTCTTCCCAAGAACCTGCAGACCCTGAAGAGAACTGTCGAGAACATAAAAGACCCTCTGTACAGGTACTTTGAGCGTGAGGTCAACAGTGGAGCTAAACTTCTGCAGGATGTCATCCACGACCTGGAGGATGTGGTGCTGATCTGCCAGGGTGAGAAGAAACAAACGAATTACCACAGGACGATGCTCTCTGAGCTTGTCAAAGGGATATTACCAGCTGGATGGAGGAGATATACAGTACCCAGGGGTTGCACTGTCATTCAATGGATCACCGATTTCAGTCACAGGGTGTCACAGCTCCAGGAAGTATCGAGACTCGTGTCTCAGGGTGGAGCAAAGGAGATTAAGAGCTTTCCAGTTTGGCTCGGAGGACTTTTGAATCCTGAGGCTTACATCACCGCCACTAGACAGTGCATTGCACAGGCCAACAGCTGGTCCCTTGAGGAATTACAGCTGGTGGTGACAATTGGTGATGGAGATAATATCGCAACGGATGACTGCTCGTTTGCTGTCACTGGATTGAAACTCCAGGGAGCTCTCTGCAAGGATAATCAGCTGTATCTGACGTCTACCATCATGACTGATTTACCTGTGACAATGCTCAGGTGGGTCAGGTCCTCTGGGGATGAGGTCAGGCGGGGAAAACTCTCTCTTCCTGTTTATCTTAACAGCACGAGGACGGAATTACTATTTACTGTCGACCTCAATACAGCGACCAATCAGGAACCCCATAGCTTCTATGAGAGGGGAGTTGCTGTCCTCACGTCAACTGCTCTCAATTAATTGACTCATTAATTAATGATTAATTCATTTATCAATTAATTATTGATCAATTAATTGGTAAATTATGTATTGATCAATTAATTGATATTTGTTTATTGTAGTTCTGCAGTATTTAGTGTGTTAGAATGCCTACACTTTATATTCTGTCAGTTTATTTCGATGAAGAATTTCATAATCAATCACTCAGTCGATGTATTTTGCGAGTTTTTCTTTTAATAACTTTAGTCACGTATTTTTCTAAACTGCTATGAATTATCAAGGTGGAGTACGATTATATATTTATTGAAGGGGATTTTCAAGTATGCAATATTATTCAAATATGGAGAGTGTAATTTATTTGCCTTGAATAAACGTGGCTTGTGCCTGGAATAATCTCATCAATTTAGTCTTTTCTTTCTGGAGAGCAATTACTCACGAAAAAATTATTGAATTGTTAATTGCAGGAAATAAATCGACGAATAATTGATTGCATGGACAAGTGGATAGTCCAGGGAATGGGAAAATGAAGAATAAAAAAAATGGATTTCCATATATCTCTTTTTATTATTCCATTACAGAAACGTGTCTTCTAACTTATAAAAATCCTACAATTATTTACAAAAAAAGAAGAAACAAAGTCTTTCATTGACAAGTCGGTTTTGTTACACATCTTCACTATGAATTATGTTACAAGAGAAATTGTGTATTCCCCAGTCGAGGACTTGCAAAATGCCTTTGAACACATGTACAATTGCGATAAATACAGTAAGCTCGAACATCAGGTAGACCCTAAAAGTTCTATTTGTGCCTCCAAGGAATCCAATGATTCACAAGACATCCTTGAAACTCCCTGACTAAATCTCTGACGATCAGAATTGTCCACCACATGTCCCAACTAGAAATTTCGATCAGTAATTCGTCCCACGCATGAAGTAATTAATAGAAAAATCAAATGAATTCGTTACAAAATCATTGAATTACTGATTAATTCTCTTTAAAGGTTCAGAAAGTATGGAATAAAAAATAGAATTCGTTTTTTCTACACAACTTATTCAAATACTTTCCATCCAATTTTCGTGGCTGAAATTTTGCAAGTATTTCCTTATATTCGTTTTCCTCTTATCACCAAAATTATAACGAAATAAATCAGATAATTCGAGATTAAAAAATTTCTAATTACCAGAAAATTCAATAAAAGTCCCAATTTTCTCCAAATTGGTAATATTTTCCTATTAAATTCTCCGAGTGACGCGAAAGTCCCAAAGTCTGTCAAATGATGCAGAAAAAAAATCACACAAACAATGAATAAACCATAAAATGTCTCGAGTCTTATATCACAGAAACGGATGATTCCGTTCCACCAGTCTTCTCATCATCGCCATCCTGATTCCTCGTATCCTGGACTAGTGGTGTCCCTTTATCAAAGACCATGGAGTCCTGTCCAATGGGTGCAGCAGCACTGACAAGATTTTCAACCGATGCAGCAACCATTGGTGGATTATGAACAGAACTCCTTCGTAATCCCTGATTTGGTCTATTATTACGTCTGATGCTGCTCCTGAGGAGATTAGCAACATCAGCAGCAGTTAAATGAGAGGATCCACTCTGGAGTCTCCTACTTCGTTCAATTGTCGAGTGAGTTCTCTCAACAGGGCATCGCTCCAAGGAGCTGATCCTCGTCATTCTGTCGATAGTATTTGGTCTGTTCCTGATGTGATTGACTGTTGTCCCAGTGTCAGTGACATCTGGGGGATCACTAGCGTGGACTGTGATGTCCCTGGGTAGAATAGTTTGGTTCATTTCCACGAGAACAGTTGCATAATCAGGAGGTGGTGGTTGTAAAGCAGCTCTTGCTCGGGGCCCACTGCTTTCCCCCAGGACATTGGCAATCCTTCGAACACTCCGCCTGAAGCTTTGTCTCAGCATTTTCGCTATTCGGGCACCTGTGGCGGTTGTGTAGCTCGGGGGTGGTGTATACTTGGGTGGTGGATCCTCGAAGGGAACGTCTGGGGGTGTTGGTAGAACACCATTTCCATGGATGCTACCTCCTCCGGCACTGGGATACGACGTCTGAGGGCGGCGGGGGTCCTGGGGCTCCAAGGACGGACGGTACAGCAGTTGGATCCTCTGCAATTGAAAAACATTCGATCAATTAATTCCACAATACAATATTTAATACAGATTAGTTTAATCTTCAGATTTCTATTTCCTGTAAATTATTGATTTATCCAATGATTTTTGAGTAACGAATTTCCCAGAAATTTTCTCTATACTTGAACTTACATTGGCGTTGCATTGCTCGCAATGAGTATAGTTTATCTCCACTTGTTCAGTCTGAATGAGTGGCACAACAGAAAGACGTAAACGAGAGTAAAATAAATGGTGTGAAATAACTGAGGGAATTAGGAACGACTGGTGCTAATACTCACATCGAATATATCAGGTGGTCCACTATTTAAATACCGGCAAGTCTGGATAACAGCTACTGCTGGAATTATCAATATTGGAATCAACTGAATGGCAGCCCCAAGCTGTTTCGCCCAAACCGCCCAATAATCACGATTTGTCCTTCTGTAGCTGTAAAGATCTCGAAAACTGCTGCTCTTGAAGAGAGTGATGCTCAACACCTTGAGGATTAAATAAAATAATAATCAAAAAATTATCATTCCAAGGCCCTATAAAAAATTGAATGTCAATTGATATCAATGAGAATCATGAACTCTACATTCATGATAAAGAATTGGAAAGTGCAAAAATTTCTTGAAAGAGGAAAACTCCTTACCATGAGCGTAACTGGTAGAATAACATTCCACGTAAATGAGAGTAAAGGTCCAGCCCAATGCCTGAGACAGCGTCCAGTCGGTGGAAATAATTCAGCAACCACTGCCTCCCCAGTGTGAGGACGTCCCCTCACAGCAAAAACAGCCCCAACTTGCACCAGATACAGAACCATTATCCACCAGGCACCACCGACAGTGTAATCCAAATAATAAACCACGTAGATACCAAACTGCAATAAAAGTCCATCTATAAAACTCATAAACTAGGAAAAACACTGCCAATTGTTTTATACATAAAAAAAATGTTCTCGCACCGATTCGCTCAGAGGAATGAGCACATACACAATTTAAAAAATCCAGAAAGTAATTAAGCAATTAATGAAGACGTCGAAAGGCTCTCCCTGATCTCCGTAACTTGAATATCGAGAAAAAGGGCATTATTCCTGGTGTACCCGTCGTATCTGGTGAGTACAGTATGAGGGATAAACATATCGATAACTGAGTCTGCCACATGTCCCTCACCCTCTCTGGAAGTGGCCCTGGTCTTCACGATTTTCCTGACACTATTTGCAGGATTATCCTGATCCCTGAGAGTGACACTGGCCCTGAGAACGCAGGGCCAATCGAGAAGGGGATCCCAAGGTCCCTCCACCACTTGTAGACATCCAATTACATTGCGATCCCTCCACCTGTCCCTTCCATTCAAATAAAGCTTCATCCTGAGTGCATATCCATACTCTCTATCAAAAAACACTGGACTGAAGATGACAGCGTCACTCTCTTTGGCAGCTGTCATCTTCTCCTTGTACTTGTCAATTCGCCACAATAGTCTGCCCTTGGAGACGCCATTAGATGAAGGCCACTCGGAGATGGTTGAGTATCTGGAGTCCCTCTCGTCTTTGATGAAGATATCCTCAACGCACTTGACGACGTCCATTACCTGATCCTTCAGACACTTTATCATTCCCTCCTGCTTGCCGATTATCTCCACAAGTGTCTCGAGCTTCTCGGACAGAATCTCGTGCTGTCCAGCCAATTCCTCACTAGCTTTGCACCTCATCTCCAGCTCCAATTTCAAATCATTCATTTTGATCTTGTGCTCATCCCACACATCACCGATTAAGACACTCTCTCTAGCGACAAATTTTTTGAGGTCTTTGATCTCCATCTCGCAGTTTGACAGCATCTCCAACTGTTTGTTCCTCTGCTTCACCAGTGCTCCTTGCACAACGTCCAGGCGATGAGTCACGGCGTCGAAACTCACACGAGTTCGACCCTCAACCTGACGCAAATCATCATCAAGAGTATTTATTCTTTTATCGAGAAATGATAGAGCTCTTCTGGAAGTGTTGGCCTCGGTGGAGAGGTCTGCTTGAATGGATTTGGAGATGCTCTCCATGTTGGCGAGTCTTGTCTTTACGAGAGACGTATCCGTCATTATGTGTTGTCTTTCGGACTCAGCTTCCCTCAGAGTTGCTCTCAGGACATTCAGCAAAGAGAGGAGTTTCTCGTGGTACTTCGAGTCGTCAGAGGCCATTCGATAATTACGAGGAAGACTACTGTACTCCGGATGATGGATCCTGGTGCAATATTTCTCGTGATGTCTCAGGGATCTTCTTGGAAAATAGGCACCACATTTCTTGGTGCACTCCTGAAGAACTGACCCACAGAGAAAGAGATGCTCCTGGAGGAGACTCTCCTCGAATGATTCCGTGCAGAAGTAACAGGGGATTGAGGATGAACCCAGTGGCTGGGGCACACTCATTCTGTTGTGGTAACCAAGGACTCGATATTTTCCTTTTTTATGGATTTTGGGGGCTTATTACTTGGACTATCGATTGTCTGACCTTTTTTCGACACGCGATACCGCAGGACTGATGGGCACGGGGGATCGAGTTAGATATCGTGATTGAGATAAGACCTGATATCGTTGTATTACGGTTAGTGGGTCGATCTGGTGGGAGTGATAAGATAAGAGTTGATGTCATCTTTCAAATATTTGGTGCGTGTTATTTCATGAAATTTCAATTTCAAGGGAATCGCGGAAGTGTGTGTTTGTTTTATGAATTTACACTGATGATAAATATCACTGATAAGAAAATGTCAATGAATCTGTAAATCGGTCGGTCTTTTGACTTACCTCTGTTGCCATTGGGAGTCCTAGGATGTAACCACATGCACAGCTGAAGAATGTTATCGTGGTCTCCCAGAGTTTCATCATTTTAGTGTTGATTGCCATTATACCGGTTATTACACAGTGCCAGATTGCAAGCTGTTGAGTTGTAAATTCATCAATGAGAATAACTTAATTGTTTTTATTATATAATCATTTTTCATAATTCCTCGTTGTAAATATCGATTTTCTTTCTCAAATGTTAAATTAATAAATGATGAAGTATCATTAAATTAGTAATTTAAGTTAATTTAATTCTTCAATTGAATTGAGGAATTATTATTGGAAGATTTACGATGTAGTCATGATTTATAAATAAAGTGCAGTGAATGTGCGATGAAGAGGAATAATTGAACTGACCTGTTGAGCGATTCCAAATAAAATGAGAATGAAGTAAAATAGAACAGCCCAGAATGGTGACACCTGTTCAGTGCCCAAGACAGCGAGGGTAGCTGGCACAAGCTCAGTGGATAATCGAAGTGCCTGATATCCCGATTCGATGCTGAGATCCGCCCCAGGTCTGATGGCACGTTGGCCAAGTAAAAATGAAGCGTGAGACATAAATCTCTCTGGTGTGTTGCCATACCCTGAGGGAGGAGGCTGGCTCACTGGTCGCATGAAGATATACCCCGATATTCTCTCTGTCGAGCATAAAACATTCAAATATGACACTGCAATCCCCATAAATTTAATCCCAAGGATAATTCTGTAGTGAAGTGGTACAACGAGATAAATCCACCTCTTCAGCCATTTTTTAAAAATATCTCAGAAATTAAAAGGGTCGGGAAAATTTTTGTTCAGATTTTCTCTGTAGGATTGATTAAGAACTACAAAAATGTTAATTGTATGAAAATTTTGGGAATCGGTTTCGGAGATTTTTTGCATAAATACAGTGAGGGCGATTGATCTTCTTACTGTACACTGTAGAATTGAAATCATTAATTACGGGGATTCGGGGTGTATTTACCGAAAGTACTGGTCGTGTAGATGTAGCCGTGGTATCTCAGAATTTGCACGCAGGTGTTGGCTAGGAATGCTGACAGCAGAAGGACTACAAAAGTCAGGACTATTACGAGACTTGTGTCGCGTTGGAGGAGGTGTTTGTGTTTGTTGTGTGCAGCAATCTGTAAATTAAAATAGACGTATGACTTATGGTCACATTATGGATTTGTTATTAGGGATGGATGCATTTTTGTAAATGAATATTAATTGAATATTAATTGTATGCAAGTTAATTCTCATTTCATTGTTTTCATCTTTCATTTTTACCTCATCCATTTATTACTTATAATTTATGTAATTAAGGACAAATATTTATTAGCACATCCGTAATTGTTTCACATAATGTTTTCCATCAATAGATTGAATTAATGATTATTTGATTGAATACCTGCATTGCAGCAGCTCCGAGGAGCCCCCACGTTAGAAAAACCTCTGATGAAGCTGCAACCCACGATCTGTTGTTGATAAAAAATTCATTCCACACAGTTGCAGGGAATAATTGATGAATAGTACCAGCTGGAGTCAATCCCAATAGTTTTGTGCATAGAATGAGAGTCCCAAATACTGGCACCAAAGTAAAAACGTAGACGACTTTCCCGTAGGATCTCAAACCTGGAGGAAAAAAGTGTTTGATGGTAGTAACAAAATACTGAATATTTATTATAACTTAGTAGGTGCTTAGTATAAATGTAGGTAGAACTGACCTTTGCTGAGGGATACAAAGACAATCATCCAGACGACAGCGAGATTGAAGGCAACTTGGAATTTCAAAGTAACAACACTGGGATTTGGCTCGTTGAGATGATGCCTTTGGAGGACAACACCACTGAAATAATCAGGTACTGTCTCGTGGAGTTTAAAAGGTATCGAAGTGTTGACAGGTTTAGCATCTTCTCTGTACAATGAAAAAGGCTCTGCCCACCGGTATCTATCCTGTTTCGTAATGAAGGAATCCCTGAAGTAGACGAACATCCAGGATATCCCTATAATACTGTAGATACCGATGAAGGCATGAGCTACCAGGAGAGCTATTCCAACTCCATGAAAAATGGGTGATATTTTCCACATGTCAACAGCACCAGCTGCCAACCGCTGACCGAGACAGACTTGCAATGTCAGCAGAGGAATTCCCAGGACCAGGGATAGGACCAAAAATTGCACGATAAAGTTTGCTGGAATCAGTAAGTTAGTTCAATTCCTCAATAAAATATATTGATTTTTTATCGATTTGTTTTCTGAGTGATCGGAAAGGGATGTTTACCACCGAATTGAACGCTGAGGATGGCAAACCTGCTGATGTTGAAGAGACCAAGGGTGCATCCTAGACAGGCTAAGGCTGGACTGAGGGCATGGGGCCATTTTCCCAGGGGATTCTCCTCGTCTTCCTCGTCACTCTGCTCTGGCTCTCGTTCTGATTGTCTCTGTCTTTCGCAAGTCCTGAAAAATTGAAATAAATCGTCCGTCAATCAATCGATGTATCAATTATTCATTGGGCTTCAGAGAAAATAACAAAATTGATAATTCAGTGGTAATGATTATATTCATTAGAGATTTAATTATCCACTTGTTTTTAGTGGAGAACTGGCGCATTTTGTCTTGAGTTTCATTCAACTTCTGGGGCACATTTGCTGGAGGTTTCTCACGATCGATTGCGCTTGAGTAGTCAATCCCCTGTGGTATATGTACAAACTCTGATGGTAGAGCAATCGATGCCACGTGAAAAACAAGTCCACCACTGGGTTTTGTACCCCCGTTGTGCAATATTAAATCATACCAGGTAATCCGACAGGGATTGAGCAACAATCAGAGGATTGCAATTGTCATCTATGACGAGTAATCCTCGGGTTATACTCACTGTAATAAATTGATTTCAAATCAATAACTTCGAGGTTCGGATTTACTTCACTCTTTTTCGTTTTTATTTTTAACCATCGGCATTCGCTACATCGGAATTTTATAAAAATGGAATAAATAATAATAACTATTTCAGAAATATCTCATAAATATTTCTGGGATATAAACATCGGGTATATTAGATTATTTATATTTTTTTTTATATCATCGTGCTATAGAGATATTAAAGATTATTAAAGTTGAAAAGTGGAATTCAATTTTTTGGATGATAATTATCGGTTGTATTACAAACCAGCAGTTGAAAGAATAAAAAATTGTAATGAATATCGTTCAAAATGTTGTTCAGGTTGGTGTCGGGTACCCTGATAAAAAATACCGAGCAAAAAGTGGGACAGGAGAATGAAAAATTATGCGGGCGTCCCGGAAGTTGGACGTCGCGCCTTCCAGGTTCGAATAATAAACCCCAAGTCGACTTGTCCTTAGTTAAGCTATGGTTCACTTATTTCAAGCTGTACTCCATTACACCCACTGTCACGTCTCTTCATGATATTTCCTTCGGTAAAAGAGGCCATTCATTCAATCTTCGATTTATTCGTCCGCGTACGAATCAATCGCAGAGCGAATCGATTACAAATTTATAAATTTCGATCCACAAAAATTCTTCAAGAGGAATTCGTCACAAGAATTCAAAATTTCACCGAACTAATTACTAATTACTCATTTCGATTCAGAGGAGAAACTGGAATGAAATAAATTTTCATGGACTTTATTATTCATTGACGATAAATTAGTTTCCAGGACTTTTTTTCGAAAAACATGAAATTTTTAATTTGATATTTCTATTATATTATATTTATATGTTTTACATTATTAATTGGTTTACATTTTTATAATTAATTAAAATCTCTGGTTAATTGTAATGGAAATGTGAGGCGTGAATTGAGAATAAATTGAGTGTAAAATGGCGTAATGTGTTACGTCTGATGAATTATTAATGGATAATTGATCATCGATAATTAGTGTCTCGCTAAATGCGTAATAGAATCAGCGGACAATAGGTGAGAGAATTTTTCCAGATGTACAATTGCTTACGTAAAGATTGGAATTAGCGGATAGATATTGCTCTAATCATTGATATCATCAGTACGAAATGGGAGGGCATGATTAAGCGGTTTTATCTCGGACAAATTAGATTTTCATGATTTCTTGACCTCGAGATATTTTAGACGTATCCCACAATTAATTCAAGGTTCCCACGTACAAAACACGCAGTCTAAAAATGATTTTTTCAATGAAATTCACTCTATCTAAATCGGCATTTTATTACACCATTAAAAATTCCACAGTATTCCAAAAAATGTTGAATTTAATTCCGAGAAATTTCTAAATTTTCTTATTTTTCTTTCTAAATTAAATATAGCATCGATTTCCAATGCCGCAATTTTAATGTAAGTAAATAGTGCTTGAGGTAATTCATTTGAGAATTAAATTGGGATTCCCGGAAAATCATAGAAAATCCCGGGAAAATAAAAAAATTGTAAATGGATTATGAATTGTACCTATCAAAACGCAGACGTCGTTGGCTGTAGTAAAAATATTCTCGGCACACAACAGAATCGTTCATCCTGGTGATATCGTTGACATGCCAAGAACTCTGGAAAAACCAATAAACTTCCTCTTGGATGTTTCGAGTGCCCTGATACCTCAATTTCCCGAGCGCATCTTCCCTTTCATGTCTGACAAACGTGATTTCACTATTTTTCTACTCAAATCTATCCCCTCGATCCCCGCATCATATATTTATAATCAGTATTTATAATCATTACGCCACATGCCGATAGAGAAAGATTGAATTAAAAATGAAAATAGATATCCA